TAGTAGATATTTACTGTCTCATGTAGTTGATATTTACTGTCTCATGTAGTTGATATTTACTGTCTCATGTAGTATACATGATATATCACATGGCGTATTTTTTAGAAAAGTCAGTTTGGAGCATAAAATTCATAAATTTATGCGCTTCAAAAAATTTCTTAACTCCGGAAAGTACATGTTTGACCTAGAAGAGGTATGATGAACGTGCATGCGCATTGTGTGGTTTGTATGGCAAAAAGATAGAATGGAAGTATCTTGTGTTGTTGGTGCACACATCGCTTTCAGAAAGGCAGAAGTATCAAGTTTTTCAATCTCCTCGTAGGAAAAGACAACAAGCATGGAGTGGAGCAATTAACAGGAAGAATTTTGTAGCATTTTGTGAATGGATGGACAGACTATGTTGATGAATGTTATGTGAATTTTGAACCATCAGCTTTACAGACATTTAAATCAGCAGTAAGACACAGTTTCAGACATCTTTCTATTTCTATGGTTACTTTTCATCCATGTAAGTATTGGTAATTCAGTTGTATACTTACCCAGAGACACATCAGTACTGACGACGAAAATTGCTAGCTTCAGAATTTTGATAAAACACGAAACGAAGAATGGTCAAGTTGCATAATTCTGTTCTATACGGTGTAATGAATGAATGAATGAATGATGAAGGCTTGCTTCAAGATCAAGGTCATTAGCGGTGATTAATCAGTAGAATTTAGTGAAGCGATCTTTTGTTTTCATGTGATTTGATTCCGGATTATCAATAGAATAAGCGATTATCAATAGAATAAGTGATTAAGATGAGTAGATGTGGGATTATACAGATTTTTATCTGTATCTGATTAGTGTTGTAATTCGGAATACACAGAATGTCGGAGTACTCAGATGTCGGATATCACAGAGTACATATAACTTGCAGAAGTGCTGGCACGATATACTGGTGAATCGATATATCAAGATACGATACATGGATACCTTTTATTCTATGCAAAAGTGGAAGTTGTTTTATGATAAAATAATCCTTTTCACTGGATGCTAACCACTTCTATAAAGTTAAAAATTCATATATATATATAGAAACTTTGAAGATACTTTTTATCTCATTACCCCATATCTCAATACAATCATATATATCAGTATTGTGGCATGCCAGCACTATCTTGCAGATAAATGTTTGTTTTAACTTTCATTTAAAGGTACAGATAATGACATTACAGCAGAGATCTACACTTTACAGGAAATAAATGAATCTCTCAGCAGGGATGAAGAGGAACTGAAACAAGACAATGGTGCAGGGAGAGAAGTTAAAGGTACACAGTTCAGGTATGTTCTGTTTTTTTTTTTTAGATAATCAAATCAAATCATCTTTATAATTTCAATGTATTTGAATTATTATTAGCAGTAGAGTGAAAATGTTGACAAGTTATTGTAAACTTCTTATACAGTCGAGTAACCTAATTTCGTGGAAACCTATTATTCGTGAATTTCCGGAAATGATTAATAATTTACATGAGCGACCTCTCGTGACCTCCGCATTTGCTTGTTTTGATAAACATGGGTTTTCTGTACAATATCAGCTAGTAGAATGAATCCAGTAGTTTCAAGCAAGGTAAAATGTATTAATGTATACTTTGACAAATACAAAATGGCGGATTTCACTTATTACCAAACGTCACCATTTTTTATCGGCCGAATTTCCTTATATTCCCAAGCGGTAATCGGAATTCCAAGTGTTGTCTGCTAGAATGTAATCCAACGAATGAAGTCACGTGATCAACTAGCAGATTCCGTGTCAGCAGAAAATTTCTATGGAACACAAAGTGGACCATATTCTTATGTTGTTTCAGTGTCTTTTAGCAATAAATCACGCTACGTATCTTATTTTGTCGTGGTACTTTGAAGGAATTGTCACTAGTTATAATGAATTGATATTAAAGATAAATACTAAGAAAAGTTAATTATACCACCCAGTATCCATACAACGTGTTTTTCTAGACTTATTTATAGATCAAACATTGTACACGAAAATAGGTGACGCATTCTGCCGCCGTTGCCGAGTTGGTTGCTCATGAAATATGGGTCAAAGTGAAGGATTCATAAAGAAAATCGAAATAAACCAATTTTAATTATTTTGTAGAATATCTGAGGAAACCTCTAAGACATAAAATTTTTTTCCCCTTCTTTATAACTTTGACGAAATTCGGTGTTGAATCCTTATATCCACGAAAATAGGTTACACCACTGTACTGTTTTAGATTGAAATAATTAATATTGATAATAAATAGATTTTAACTCTTAAGTTTTAACTTTTAGATAATTGAAACCAAAAGCCAGTAGAATGACATATTGATCATTTTGTATCAGTTCTAATGTGTTTGAAGGTATGCCTGTAAATATTGTTAAAACATAGCTTTAAAAACAATACCCAAATTATAAGAAAATTTCCCCCTTCAGACTAGGTCAAAGCAAAATCCTGATCTACTTAAAAGGGCTGAGCTGTTGTCAAATTTTTGTAGGCGTGATGTCACTGGAGGGCAGTATCAACCTGTGTCATGATGCTTCACCAAGTTGATAATAATGAATAGATCCATTGTAGCATCTTCTGTTAGACAGTCCCCTCTAGATGTCACCAATTTTGACAGGCCTTATTGTATAGTCTGTATTCTATAGTTTTTCTTCCAGTTTATATAAAAATTAGGCTATATTCAGACTACATGAGAAAGAATAAACAGATGTTTGAGAAAAAGTACACTCTAATTTCTTTCTTTTAGGTTGGCCTTCTTGTGAAAAACATTGCAGACCTGTTTGGGATTTCCAATACCAGAATTGTCATTGATTCTATGGAAGTGTTTGTAAAAGAACTATCTACCATTTCAGCACAAAATAAAATCTTTAGTAACTACAATAACCACAATACATTGAACTGTTTGGTTGGTATATCTTGGTGGACTTTTTACTCAAAATGATGAAAAGGATGAGTTTCAGAGAGAGAAATTGTAAAGGAGAGTGAATTCCTTGACCTTATTTAAGCTGGAGACTATTAAAGCAGATAATATATCACCTTATTTACAACAGAACATATAGTTTCTACAAAACCAGAGACAATGCTGAGGTTCAAATTCATGTAAAATTTTTAAAATTCATATTTTGGATGGTGTTCTCCCATTATCATTAAATCATTGTGTCAGTGATATATTCAGTGTTTGTGAAACTTGACAAACTTATCTCTATGGATTGTTCCAATGATTAAGTAAGATTTAATTGAACTTTGTATAAGAATGTGTGTCAGAATAGAGAGAGTTGTCAAAATTTGTCAATTATCATCACTCTTTTTCCTATTTATATGAACACATTTATAATAAAGACTTCATTTTTGTATTCATTTTGTTATATACATATATTTTGTTCCCGTAGCTGAGACAGGTGTGCCATTTGTAGGAGTTGATTCGAGTCTTGAATATATGTTAATAGTCTTTAGAAGTATTAGAAATGTTCGAAAATCGAATGATTCCTTAAAAAATTTCTCAAACTAGGAATGCCTTTTCCTATTTCTATAGATGTCTTTTCTATATATGGCAGTGTCTCAAGAAACTTAACTTTCATACGCGGATAATTCTGGACACACATGGATTTGTAGGCTTAAATTTTGGTGGTCAGTTGTGGACACTATTACTGATTGCCAAAGCTAGAAAATGTCTAAGGTACTATTGGTCAAAAAATGGTGCATTTTCCCTTTAAGAAGCCCTAGAGGAATACACAATTCTCAAATGGCCATGGGCAATGTTTTGCAAGGTGGGGTGAGTTCAGATTTTGTTTTGACTGTGGAGGTAAAAAGCATATTGAAAAGTGTCAAACATATGAATTCTGTGTCTTTGACATAAGATTTTAATAATTTGTTTATTTTTAATACTTTATATACCATTGACTATATTTTTGGTTGTGAAAGAGATTGGTATACTAAACTATATATGTATACGGAGGACACATAATATCAATTTGCCCCATTTCAATTTTCTGTCAGACATCTGTTGTTCTTTCAACACCACTATAATTATGTGTTTTATGATGTCACTGCCACAAATGTGAATTTAAAAGACTGTGATGGTTACTTCATAAAATGTCCATTAGCATGAACCTGACGTCCAATTGAAACAGCTTATTGATATTATTAGTTTCCTTGATACACATACAAAGAGTTCAATTAATCTCTTTACAATCCCTTTAACTGAACATAGTTTGTGAAGTTGATGTCACTTATTCAGTTTCATACACATAGAAAATGTCTTCAATGAAGCTGATAGTTCAAGGCAAGTTTTCAATATTTAAGATGACAGTCAGTTGTAAACCATCAGGAACAACTCAGTCAAAGTTTCTGTTCTATGGACAAGAATAATTGATTGAGCATGACAAAATCTTAAATAACAAATTTTGTCTTTTGGGTATCCAACTTCCGCAAAGTTATAACAGAAAACATTTATCACAGCTTGGCTTATTGTGGTTACCCCCACCCCCTTTCTTTTCAATTTCCACCTCAGTGATTTCCTTCCCAATATACAAGATAATAGTTTGATTCAATAACACATAATTTACTTCATTTTAATTTAAACAATAACAAATCATTCCTAACAAGCTTACATTGGTCTCTAAATAGATTAAATTAATTCATCTTTATTATGCAGAACATGTGATGCTAGTTTCTTTCAACAATTAGATAGCACATATTACGTAATATTATTTCCTTAACCTAATATTTAGACCATAAATTTGTTATTTTGTCTTCTAATCTCTACTAGCTATCTTACTAAATGAGTTTTGTAATGAAATGAATGAAACAATAAAGGGTTTGATTAATGACAATCAGTGAAGATGACAATAACTCAATATTATAAGGTTGATTACAATGTAATGAATTGAAATCAATTAATTAAAAGATTAAATAAGGTGTGTGATTAGAGAGCTATATCCACATGTTACCATGAGAACAAACAAAATTGAAACTTTTATCTCACAACCATTTGCTGATAAAATTTCTCAGGCTGCAATAGAACGAGTCAATTCATTAGAAAGAGTCAATTCATTAGAAAGAGTCAATTCATTAGAAAGAGTCAATTCATTAGAAAGAGTCAATTCATGTCCATCCATCCCATTTTCAGCTGTATTTGTAAATAGTCTTCAGAACTACTTTAATTGTACGAATAATTTCTTTAAATATACGAGACAAGGGGTGGGACAGAATGATTGAGTCTACAGTATAAAATGTTTAATTTCTAGCTTGTAAAACCTTAATCCTGGCAGCACACGGACAGTTTTCGACAGTGTTTTTTGAAAAAACGACATGTGGCTGAAATGCTTAAAGTCGGTTGTCATATAACTAAATAGAGATTTAAGTCCCCACAGTCTCACTTCCTTGACAGTCATTCCCACCCACCCCCTTACAGAGAATCTAACAGTTGTTGGTCTTAAAACATTTATAGTATTTGAAGAATCACCTGACCAAAACTTCTCCAACAAACTACAGGACTAGAACCAAACAAAACTACTGACAGTGAATCCATCTTAACCTGAAAACAAACAAAAAGAAAAACCATTGAAATTTCATAACATTTCAAACGACTTGAAACCTTGTATGACGTTATATCACAAATTACTTTTCAAGCAAAATAACTGTTTGAATGTGTATTTGGTAACAATATTTTTTTATTTTAACTGTGGTTTTTATTCTTTGAAAATTTAAACCTTGTATAATAATTTGAGTACTCTGACCTATTTACTCAATAACTAGTATAATAGTACAGTATACAAGGTTTTTCTCTTTTCATCTGCAGAAAATATTTTACAAGGTTTTAAATCTAACTGTTTATATACATGATATTTAATTGGTGATTTTTGGGTTATTTACTATCAAGCTAGGAATAAGAGGTTTTGATCACATGATCATTAAAAGTTCATTGATATTCCAAAAGAATTGATATAGACATATATACATAGCTTCTTATCATAGTTTAATACATACCTAAATTAGTTGAAATTAGCTTCTTCTGTTTTTATTTACAGATTGTCTCTATATATGGTTAATCTAGGGTTATTAATATATTAAAATAACTAATACTATTATGGTGAACAATGAGATCTTCTAAAACAAAAATAAAATGTTTTCTTAAAAAACATGATTAAATTTAATATTTGGTTTGTGGTCTAAGGGAGGTAATTTACCATAAGTCAGAGCTGTTGACAAATTATCTCGCTTTGACTGTAAACTGTATCACACACTTCAGTATATTTTGACACGTCAAACTTCCTCTACGATCAACTGAAACATACTCAAAAGAATCCTGAAATATTTTCTACAATTAATGACCAGTTCTCTATTTTGTACATGACTTGGTATTTGATAAGATAATCAATGTAATAGAGTTTAACATCCTTTGACACTAACATGCACAATTTATTGGGTCTAATATTTGTCTCAACAGCTGAATTTTTTATCTTTAGTTCTTAGAAAAAACAGTATTGTTAAATTCTTACCTTAACATGCAAATTATATTTGTTCAAATTTGCAAACCTTCAAACCAAACACAGATTAAGTCTGTGATAATTTGTGTCAAGTGAGTGATGATATAGGTATATCCACATACAAGTGTTACTGAAGTTCTACATCTGATTTTTAAATCCCAAATAAAAATGATGAAGATGGTTAGCCTAATGGTGATCTCAGGTGTAATAAACTATGATACTTTGACAGCATGAAGATATGAGGCTTAAAATTTCAAACAAATTCAGGACAATTTTCTCTGCTGAAATCTATAAATAGATGAATACAATACTTTAACTGTTATACTAAATATAAACTGAATTCAGCTTCAAAACTATTTTCATGGAGATTTTATTTGTAAACTTAAAAATCATACAGATTGATACAAAATTATGGAAACACTATAACAATATATATCTGTATAATCAGATGTTGAAGTGGTCTGGTTAAAGTGGTGGTTGGTGTAGACTTGTTAATTATCTTAGCTGAGCGAATCAAATTGTCTCTTCCGAGGTATAACTCTACTATTTTCGCTTATTTCCTGGGATATTATCATTTTTTAACAAAACTATATGGCCTTTTTTTTTAGAGATTGTTTGTCACTTGTCATGGAGTTGGTGTTACTAGTTGAAACTTCCATAATGCTTTTGGTAATAATCGGATGCCATGACTTATAGATGATTTTAAGATGTGATAAGTCATTTTTAAGCAACTAAAGATTTTGTTATCATTTATGACAGCTGGCAGTGGGCGTATGTTACATTGCCTGGCAGGCTATCTTTTTACTGCCTCGTGACCCTCAATATCCAATAGGTATGTATTGATGTATTGCTTCCAGGGCCAACTGTTTTTGATTCAGCTTAAGGTTGTAAATGAATCAGTCAAGTAAAATGTTTGAAGTTTGTCAATATTCAACACATGAATAATTTTGTTCATGAGTCTAGAAAGAATTGTAGCACCTAATAATTCTAGTGTGGTATTGATTTTGTTTTTTAATTGGAGCAACTCTTGTTTTTGATGCAACTAATCTAATAGTTGATACATTCAGACTGTTTGTTGTTTGTAGGTATATAATGGCAGTATAAGCTGTGTAATTGATAGTTTGTTACATCACTAGATACCAGATAATAACATCTTGGAACCTGAATCTTTACAATTTGAATAAAGTCATTGATCAAGCTATTCCAATGACTGTCCCAATCAAGCTTCTCTTTACAAATTTGTTGGAAAAGCATCTTTAACTGAATTGTAAAAGGATTTAATAATCCTAATGGGTCAAATATTTTCACAGAAACCTCAAGCACTGATCGTTTAGTCAGCGCTAAAGATTTGATATATGTCACTATGAACTAAAAGGTTAAGCTATTTATAACTAAGTACTAGTTAATATTTTAAAAGTGTGTAAATGACAATGTGTTGATCGGTAAAACTTAGAAGTTAAACCCCCCCCCTCACCAGTCAAAATGGTCATGCTACACCTCTGTACTTGGATCTAATAATATATTCACCAGGAAAGTTTAACTGAATAAAAAACAATTACCAATTTGAAAACAAATAACAAAAGAACTTACTTGGCTAATATTTTTAAAGCTTAGGTTTAGGTTAATTTTAGGTTGTAACATTACCCAAAGACAATCAAAAAGCTCTCAGTAGTATTTTGTGGTTGATGTTTCAATTCAAACAGAAATTATTGCCAAATTCAATAAATTAAACTTTGTAATTTGTATTTGTACTATGTAGTCAGTCTACTTCATACAATATAGGGTAACAGTTTATTGCTTAAATACAATCTCTAAAAGATTGATCTTGAAATGCTCAATGGAAAATTTGATAGAGTTGTCTTTCAATAGACATAGACACAAAATAGACTCACTCCCCCCTTACAGAGAATCTAACAGTTGTTGGTCTTGAAACATTAAAAGTATTTGAAAAATTACCTGACCAAAACTTCTCCAACAAACTACAGGACTAGAACCAAACAAAACTACTGACAGTGAATCCATCTTAACCTGAAAATAAAAATACAGAAAAACCATTGAAATTTCATAACATGTGAAGTAACATCATTAGGAAAGACAAAGAAGGTTTCACCACATGGTGTTAAATTTTGATTTAGGGTTTCTAGTAAATCAAAGGAACTTAAACAGAAAGAGAAAAAAAAACATTATTAAACTTAATATTTGGTTTGTGGCTAAGGGAGGTAATTTACCATAGTCAGGGCTGGTTGACAAATTATCTCCCTTTGACCACCAGTAAACTGTTTCAGTGTAAATTTATTATTTATTACAGTTTTGTAAAAATCTAAAAAACAAATGATTTGTCATTTCTACCAGGTTTTATAATTTTATAATCGAGAACCTCTTGTATTCCTCAGAAGCTCCCATCCACCGCAGCTTTTCAATTTCAGGAGAAATTCTTCTAGTGCTTTTGTGAACAGTTTCACATCATTGCAATGTTGATCTTCTTTTCACCCAGGAAACCCTCTAAGAGAAATTTGTTACAGCATTCTGAAATAGAAATATTGACAGGTATTTGTAGTCTGAGCAATCACAAGTCAGGACTAGTTATCTCCCTTGTAATTCATCAGTTGTAATCGGTGAATCTTAATGAGTCTGTCACTCCCACCATCATTATTTTACAAGAAACAATAATATTAACTTAATATTTGAATATTTTTTATACTCACTCTGTCCTTACTTGCCAGGTGAAAATATCCATTTGGATATTGAGATCTTGTATAACCATTACTATATGTAGCCTCAATGATATTTCTTCTGGTTCTTTTATTACAACATTGGTTGGAAGTTGGTTAATTCGGTGGCTACAGGGCGAATTGGTGATGTTGCAATGTTTCCCTATCAGCACTTGTTTCCCCAGTGATACTGTAAAAGTAAAACAAAGGCCTAATTACAGATTCTTTAGTTTAGTAAGTTAACATAAACATTTTAAGTTCACTTTTTGGAAGCTGTTAAAAAACTACTGAAAAGTAAAATAAACACGTAATTGTAGAGAAATATGTCTCCAATATATTCTAAAGGTTTTAACTAAAAAATATCAAGCCATTATAAAGCTTAACACTAAAACTAGGTCAAACTGCTTAATTAACAATTAGTTCACTCTGTTTTTAATTAACCCTTTTAAAACAAATTCAGTTTAATCAAGTAGATACATAGATATAAATAGCAATCTTTAGAAATGTTTTCAGGTATAATTTACAACGTTTTTGATGATGAAAATGTTTTACATAAAAAGGGAGAATGACCTGTAATATAACTGATTGAGCAAAAGAAAAAAACCAACACAATAATGATTGAGATAATGTGGAATAATGAAATGATATTTACCTGAAACATAGTGTTGAACTGGTTCAGTAGAATAAACTCTTGAAATAAAACATAAACTATGATCTCTATGTTGGTTAGTTTATAAATATACTACTCTCTTAACTCTGTCTGACTGATCAACATCTTTATAGCTAGTAAAATATGAAGATAATTCTACCCATTGATGAACTCTAGGAATTAATTGTTCTATTGTTTTATTTTCCAACTATATAATATATAACATAATTGTGTCAAGTTATAAAGATGTACAGTTAAAGAGTTAGTTTAATATTTTATGTTTTAATGTAGATAGGTATGTGGATACTGTATGAATTTATATACCTATTGATGACTTAGAAACAGTTTCAAAACTATCCAGCATCCAAAACAAAGTTGTACTAAATCTCTTCAATGTTTGGAAACTTGTGTTTAAGCACTAGGTAGGGACATATCTGCAAAGTACCAAGTGACATTTTCCAAATCTGTAATATCCACTCAAAGTCCATGCTTATCATTAACATCACTGTTAAGAATGGTCAAGTTCCATATTTCTGTTATATAACCATCAATATAGCCATTAATCAGATTTGAGTTGAGGGCAGAATTGAAATCAGTGATTTTTGTTTAGAAGATAATATTAGATTATCAATAATACAAGTGATAATTGATGATAAGTGATTAAGATGAGTAGATGTAGGATTATATAGATATTTCTGAGTGACCACTGATTCATAATACACAGAATGTTGGAGTACTCAGATTTTAAACTGACATAAGAAGAAAATCAATCGGGACCAAATAAAACATGTTGACTTGACTTTTTTAGTTAAAACTTTCAGATTTGACCTAAAGAAATAAAGGGAATGCCCCTTAAAAGGATATTATTTTGTTGATATATCAGGTGTCCCAAAAGAAAAAAAAGGTCCCAAACCTCCAAGGGTGGTATCTCAGCTGCTGGTAAACTGATCTCTTTCAAAATTCTCACAGATATATTTCAAGATGTCGTTGTCCAACTCTGAAAATATGAAAATCATCGAATACAAATTGTACAAGTACTGCCCAAAACAAAATAGCATGTCAATTGACATGTCTGGTAAATATGGCCAAATCAACAACCCTGTTATGAGAAACATATTTATAAATAAGTAATAATATCAGCCGACAGCAATTCTTTTACTTCATTGATTAATTTCTAACTTCTGTTATTCTGTAGATAGTTTTCAATAATTAAATATCATGTTTAAATTTAATATTTTGTTTGTGGTCTAAGGGAGGTAATTCATCATAAATCTGAGCTGGTTATCTTATTCATGTGAAATATTTCCAGTCCAATTGACATAGTTTTATGTTTTTCAAATAAAAATGTGGTGTTGTTGTATTCTTCAAAATTCTTTCTGTAAATATTTCAATAATCTTCTTAACAGTCAGTTTTATTGTTACTGTACCCTGATAAATAAAGAGAAATTAGAAAGAAATAAAGCAATTTTTATCAAAACCTTTGACTATGTTTTTTCTAGAATACCTAATTTCAACTGGAACATTAACTATTCAAACATGTGACACAGGTAGTGTTCTTACTAAGAATTTCTTTTGTGACAATTTTCATATCAGTCATATTGATCTATATTGAAAACTTTAGATACAGACAATCAAAGACAACATGTATTTTTCTTTGTTATGTTATAAATGTGGCAGGGTGCATTTTTATAAAAACCTGGTTGTTTTATTTAATTGTTGTTTTATCTTAATGCACCACTACTGTCTTAATGAGCACATAATTACCTTACACTGGCCTAATACTAAAGTCTTAATTATTGCCCTCTCTTAGTTTCTTAACTTAACTGATCTCACCTGACCTTGCCACCTTTTGGATTGGCCAGCTTAGTGAGCTTTCAGTGAGTTTCATCACCTATCCAGTCAGAAACTTTACTTTTATCTAAGTCCTTGAAGTTGAAGGAAGTGTGTTTCAACCTTTTATGAAATATTTCCTACTTTCAACTTTATCCTGTTTCACCATTTAGTTATTTTCTTTAAATAACTTCACAGGTTTTGGTATTGAGTTTAGTTTAGTTATATACTGTAAATGTCAATATCAACTTAAAACCCCATCTTAAGGGGTTTTTTATTAAAGTTTATGAACTGATAAAGATAGTTTTGATATCATCTGAGTTAGTTTCCCCCCCCCTCCCCTGAGCTAGCCCGGCTACATAAAACAATCTGGTCTGTATGTAAGTAGTAAAATCTGGTATTTGAATTGATTGAAGGTCATTAGATTGTTTTACCGTCTCCTTTACTATGTTGCATTCGTTACCATATCAATTTTAAAAATACTAATTACCTTTTTATATGAAATGTGGACTGTTTATTGTCTGTCTGTGTCTGTTAGTTTGTAAACTCATAAACATGAACCCTATTTAAAATCAGTTTATTGCTCTTGTTCTTGAAAACATGTTTAAGTTATACCTTGTAAACACTCTAGAGGGCACAATTCTTGCCAGATTTGGATGAAACTTTGTGAAATTATTCATTACCATTCATAGAAGAACACTATCAAAAAATCTGATTTAGACACCATCTTTCTCACAAAAAAATGCCTGCTCTTCAACAAAGTAATATAACCATGATGCTGAAATGCCTAACAAGCCAAATTATAAATGAGTTGTATAGCTGAATGACAGAAGTTTCTCCATTACCTTGTGGTCGTTAAAACTTAAAGAAATTAAATCTTTCTAATATTTGCCATTACTTTCATCTTGAATATTTATGTCTTATATTTAGAATGGTCAAGGAACTTAAAGAGACAATATTGTTAAACAACTTACCTTCAATTCACTATTAAAATATGAAAGCCTTTCTCTGACAACCATTCTTGAATTGCTGCTTGTGTAGTTGAAACCCTAGGGAACTAACTGTCCTCTGTCTGGATATCAGAAACGTTCTGTATTGAGAATCATGATGAAGACATGAAGAACCAAAACAAAAATGTCAAGTTGAATTTTGACCTAACTTTTATTGATTGATACCTGTAGATAGAAATAATTTATAAACATTCTAGAGTTGAGGAGCTTAACTAATTTTAGATACATTAGAGTTTCTTGACTTTTTTTCTGTGCTGATATCTGTAAATAAATGAACACAATACTTAAAATGATAAACTTTATATAAAATTCAACTCTAAGTTACAATCTAACCTATATACAGATTATTTTTTTGAATGTTTACCCATGTGTTGTGCTATAGAGTATCCACATTATTCGGATCAGTAAAAAACTTTGTGAAATGGTTTGTGTGTCTTCTATTTTATTGAACACATTATAATGTAACTTGTCTGTTTGGTGGCTTATTGACTGGATCTTATTATTTACTATATAAAGTTGGGTAATTTAATAATTTTAACCACATACTTATACATGATGTCTGAGTGAGGCTATTTTCAACCATTTTCATGTCTGGTAAATATGGCCAAATCAACAACCCTGTTATGAGAAACATATCGTCGTTGCGCTTCTAAAACCTCGTATCTCGATTTTGGTCAAAATCATTTTATGTTATTGTTTACATCTAATACCGTTAATACACCTTGTGTAAAAATGTCGAAACTCTAGTCCAATTAGAATTAATAATATTAGCATGTGACAAATACTCGCAATTTTAATTGGCTTAAAAAATTACAGTTAAAACCTCGTAACTCGACCACATGTTTTTAGCAGACGACAGACATTTGTTTACACTAAAGGAGTAAGTATTTCTATAAAACTTCCATGCATTTTTATTCATTTGAGACCTCAAACGTATTTAATATGACTTACAATAACCTGCACAGTCACGAAATATCTTTGAAATCGTCACTGTTATCAAAAGTTAATAAAATCAGTGTTGTCGTATTTAGATACACGAATAAGTGTATTCGAATGATAATATCACATTTATATCAACATACTTAACTTTAAATATTCAATAATCATAAAAACAAAGAACTCTATTGGTATTATTCTTCATTTTATTACGAGATACGATATTTTTACTATGTGGGGATTGATATTTATTTTCTGAGATACGACTTTTTGACAATTGATAAAAATCAGTTATGGTACTGTATACTTTCCTCTTTGTTTCCAGATTAAAGCTACGATGTCTAAGAGAAAGCCGCCAAATGTTACTTTGTCGAGGGGAATGGTACTCTTACAGATGTCCTTAAGCAATCGGTCTGAAGACTCTGAATTAAAACAATCATCGCAAACTCATGACTTACATCCCATTAATTATATTCATGCCACTCCATCTGATGATATAAACGTATCACAAATTCCTGTAAATCATATAAACAATAATCTGCAAAATTCAAGCAAAATTCCAGCATTACCTTTCAAAAATTCTAATCCTTCACAAAGCGATCAATTCAAAAGCATCGAACACTCTTCCCTTCCGATTATTGAAAAACAACAAAGACCGATATCACCAGTAGTTGAAATTCTACAAAATTATGGTGTTATTCCAAATGTTGATAAAGCATTAAGGTCAGAATGTGTAATTGGCGAACAAGATTGCGCGGAAGAAATTGACATTGATAATTTATTCGAAAATTTGATTGATTTAGAAAATTGTAATTTAGAGTCCAATAAGAATAATTGTTCAACTGTCCGTTGTTCAGATGAAGATGCTGTAG